ATAGAAGGCTGCTTTGTTAGCCGACACGTGTCTCCATGTGCGGACTAAATCACCCTGATTCTTCTATTAATTGCAGCTGGTTTTTTTTGTCATTTGACTTCTTTTTAAAATTTCTTTCTCTTTACATTGAGTCACGTGTGTGCAGCATTTTAAATTGACTACAATACCTTAATTAGTAGTTTGTTGTTTATGGGTATTTTAGTAAATAACATTTATTTTAATTTAATGTAATGAGCTGAGTTGAAGAGTTTTCTCTTCTTTCGATCGGTCCTATTTCTTTTCTACTCTTTTTTCCTTCTTTCTACATATCCCCAATATGTTCAAATTTTTCGGTCAATTTTGTTAGATTTAATCACTATTGTTTTTTTTATACACATTTCTATGTTGTTATTTTTGGCATAATTTTTTAAGGGTGGGTCTGTGATTTCATTTGCTCTCCGTGAGCTTAATGTGATCAAGAGAGAGAAGTTTGATGGTGTTGTGTATCTGGTTGTTTCTTATACAATCATTTCTTTTACATTGTGAATTTAGGTGATATTTTTAAAAAAAAAAACATGAGGTATATTTAAAATTTATTTTTAAAGTTTGGTGATAGGTATTATGCAGTGTTTATATTTGATGGTGTTCTTTTGTTTACCTATTTTACACTTACCTACTTCTCTACTTTGGTGTTTCCTGTGTGAAAAAAAAAAAAAAAAAAAATTAATTCTTGCTGGTTAGTTTGTAAAACTTTATTTGTACATGTCATTTTTAAGGTTTATTCATTTATTTAGCTTGCTGTAAGTGTTAATTTGGTTAGGCTTTATATCAACACTTGGGAGTTGATAGTTTTTCTTTTTTTGTACAATTTTATATTCATGGTGCTGTTTTGTTTTGCTATTTTGCATTTACATAATTCTTTACTTTGTTGTTTCATGTGTTCAAGAAAACTTACTTTGTTGATGAGTTTATAATACTTTATTCTATAAAACTCAAAGTGTTCTTTTGTTCTCACTGTTTTTTTGTCATTTGTGTATTAATAGATTTTAAGCTTTTGGTGCTCTTGGTATTGGATATCTATCATATCATCAACAGGTGCTTCTGCCCATTTGAGTTTGGAGTTTTCCAGGTAATTCAACAATATAATCTCTAATATGCTCACTCTTGATGTAGTTATGTGGACTATATTTATTCTTACATCTGGCTTTTTAAGGTATATTTATATGTTTTTCTTGCAGAAGGTGTTAATTTAACTGGACTTAGTATCATCACTTGGGTAGCCTTTGTATATTCACTTGATGCATACCAGGTAACTCTTGCCTTTGGAAATATTATTATTGAAAGTAGTTTTCTTTCTTTTTGTACGTGGTAGCTCTTTTTTTCCGTTTATTTGTCAATAGGTATATTTTGTCTTTTTTTACGCTACCATCTATTTGTTGTTTGCATTTCGTTCTAGACCGCCGTTGTATTTAGCTTTTCTTTTTCCTAAAGATTTTGTGTTGGTGCAGTTAAAATGAGGCCAATTTTTGTGCCTATTGTATTAAAAAGATCAGAGGGTACATATATTGCATCAAAGAAACGATGTAGACCTGAAAGTTTAGAGAAATATAGAGCCAAAAAATGAATAAAATAGGTCAGGTGGAACGTTCAAGACCATCATTAAGTCATGTTAGGTCATTGTCACATGGTCAAAGTTCCACACAAACAAGTGCTCCAGTAAACCAACCTAATAACCAACGGAGTAATAGTTCTCTTTGGAATAACCAATATCAAAATAATGTTGACAGTCGTGCAGGTAATAATTTGTTTGGTCAAATCATAAGCATTGGTAACATATCAATTTGTGAAATATATATGTAATCAATCCTAAACTAAATCTATAGCAGGTCAGAAAGTTGTGGACGGACGCCATTTGTTACAAGTGGTTCCTACTGAGTCTAGCGTTTTGCCTAGGCCTCCTAATTGCTCATACTGCAATGCATGAAAAATTTTTCATGAGAAATCGCATATGTGTTGTGTCAATGGTGATGTTAATAAGGATTTGTTTGAATCTAACTCAGAAGAAGCTAAATTGTTTAGAACATGTATTAAGACAGTTAATAATTATTTTGCATTTACGTCAATGGGAGTAAATTGTGATAAGGATCTAGAAAAGCGAAACAAAGGTGTGTACACCATTAAGATACAAGGTCAACTATATCAAATTATTAAATATGTGTCTGGTTCGCAGAATCTTCAACTATATTTTCATGACACTGAAGATGAGATTGCTAAACGTTTAGAAATATGTCCAAGGCTCACATAAAGTTTAATTAAAAAAATTATGTGGCTACGTAAGGATAATCCATATATAAAATTTTTTAACATTTCCGGGATATGAACCCTCCACATGATTACTGTATTGTTTTGAAGTCTCTTCCCGATGTCGATCAAAGAGTATTTAACAAACTTAATGTATCTCAAGTTGTTGCATTATGGGTTGAGGGTGATGAGAATGGAGAAACAAGCAGGAGAGATATAAAAGTGTATTCTCATGGTGGGCAATAACATAGCATAAGTTATTATTTTGGGTGTTACGACCCTTACAATATCCTATTCTTTTTCCGTTTGGTGAAGTTGGTTGGCACGAGGGTATACCTAAAAAACAAATGATGCATAGCACTAACACCAGGAAAATGAGGGCGTTCAACTATCATCAACAATCCCAACAGGAAATATCGTGCTCGCAATGAGGATCAAAGTTACAACTTTCAACTGTAAGTTTTCCCAATATGGATAACTATTTATTATTTCATTATCAATTTATTTTAAAATAATGTACCTTTAACAACATCCTTTCACACACAACTTTATCTCTAACGACGAGGTTGCCCACCTGCATTCTAATCAACCCACCTATGCAAGAAGCAATTAACTTAAAACAATGGTAAACATACATGTTTATATTTCAACAATTTATTGAAAATAAATCTAATATGATGCACATTACAATTATAGGTACATAGACCACAAAACTGAAGTTGCACGTCTAATTGAAGATAAAGCATTCGCGAATACCTCTATCCTTTTGCCACCGCCAAATGGCAATGATGTTATCACAGTTCAAGCAGCTTTACATTCACTTAACAAAACAGTTAGTGTCAACAACACAATGTTCAAAGTATATATTATGGTATATTTATATGTCGACAAACTAAAATAAATTATTGCTTTATTACAGGTAAAAGCTACATGGGTGCAAGGTCAAGTAACCATGGTCACAAACCAAAAATCCTTGTGGTTCAGTGCATGTGGACATTGTCACACTAAGCTTGAAGTTCCAGTTGGTTGGGAAGTGAAATGCACGATATGTAACGAACAAACCAATGTAGAGGCGAGGTAAAACTATATTGTATCTTCTAATAAGTAGTAATTTTATAGTCTTTCGCTCCCGTTCATATGACTAATGAATTTGAATATAGTTTTTGTAGATGTCGATTTGTTGTGGCTATTTATGACGGAACAGGAGTATTAAATGCACTCATTTATGCTGAAGATGCTGAAAAATTGATACCATTTACTGCACAACAGATATATGAGGCTGAGAAAGAGGTGCACATCATATTTTAGTGAAAATAAGCTACCAACACACTTGATCATTCGTATTGCTGAATTTCTAACAACCTGTTTATCACCACTTTATTAGGCCAACGATTTGCTGTCAGAAATCATAACAGGCTTCTGGAAGAAAACTATCACATGCTTCGTTAGGCATTATGAGTCAGATTATGGATATCCTATGGACAGCTACGCCATAGTGAAACTATACTTAGAAGATGAGATTCATGGAGAGGCAAGGCAACATGCAAGAATGGTACACATTAAAACTCATGCAAATTTTGTAAAGTCCTATTCATTTTCGTTTCACCATAACTACTAAATTAACATCTACAGGAAAAATAAATTGCAGCAGAGGAGCATCTGATAACACCAACTGGTAGCCAAATTCCATTTGCAGGCGATGATTCGCCTTATTTCAGAATGGGAAGGGGAGCAGAAAACCAACCAGCAGGAAGCTCCACCAAGCGAAAACTAACCTTCAACGGCCCAAGTGATTCCAAGGATGAAACCGACCAGGAAAAATCGCCAAAGCAACTTAGTGGCACTTCAAATGTGGAACAAAAAGCTTTCAATCCGAAAAAACCACGTATTTTGGATATTTAACTTGCACATTATATTTTTAGTCATTTGCTTTTGTTAGGGAAATGACAATGAACCCCAACTATTTTGCGTACTGGTATTATCTAAGAAATATTATTGCTGATTAAGCTTATAGTAGTGCACCTGCTTAATGAGCATTAATATTTTGTATTTTGATGGTTTGTGTGTATGGTCTGTGTGTGTAACTTCAGGACTTCAAACAAGCATATTTTGATGTAATATTTTGGTGCTTGCATAAATATAATAATTATTGTTGCTGTATAAGTTCTAAAATTTTTTGCATATGGATGCTACTCAAATAATATAATCGTTGGCCGGCTGTGCGAGTCTGCTAGTACTAGAATAAATTTGTAGTCAATCTTTCCTAATATGTAGCCGCATAATCAGATCACTAAAATTCAACTACAAAAAAGAAAAAAAAAATTGAAAAGTTAGGCGGGATAAATGAAAAAAATTTGAAAAAAGTTCCCGTAACAGATAATTTTTGAAAAATTTGGGGGGGAAAAAATTTACTAAAAATTTATTTTTCCTTTGACTCTATTTTATAGTAATAGATAAGATATGTAAAGGGACATTGGTCAAACTCAAACGTTGACGGATATTTATCATCTAGCCATGAATTGCGTCGATTTGGGCCTCATTTGAAAAAATATATATAATAAAAAGAAAACAAACAAAAACCACTCGATAAGGCCCATTTCCTACTGCTCACCGAACATAAAACAGAATACCCTCATAATAATTCGAGATTCATCTTTCGTTCATCCACTCCACTACTGCCTGCGTGCGCGATTTATCGTTTTGCGTTCATCGATTCGTTCATGGCTACACAAGGTCAAGTCATCACTTGCAAAGGTATAACAGTTGTACTTTCTTCTCCGTCTGTAGTCGATCAGTATGTTGTGTGATAAGAACCTTCAGCTGAGTTCTTTTTATTTGGCTTTAAGCGGCGGTGGCCTGGGAACCCAATAAACCGCTGGTGATAGAGGACGTGCAGGTGGCGCCGCCACAAGCCGGAGAAGTGAGAGTGAAAGTCCTCTTCACCGCCCTTTGCCACACCGATGCCTACACGTGGAGCGGCAAGGTATGTACCGTTGATGTACACGCGTTATATGAACTACGAACCGTCTAAAATGGTAAAAATTATCTCTAGTATTAAGATGATTTGGTTGCACAAATGGGTTTGTGGTTTGAGAAAATTAGTATTAAGATTGAAGAAGAACTGATTGTTTCCTCTTCCTTCTGTCGGAGATTTGTTAATTGGGTGGGCTTAGGTTGTTTAAGGACTTTCTGGGTTGTGATGTGGTTCAATTCCTTTTGTAATTTCTGGTTATCAGATTTGGACCTTCACTAACTTTGATGAATGATCCACCTATTTTTAATGTGTCCCAAAGAACCTCCCCAGCAAATGATGGTAAATATAGATGGAAGAATAATCAAATAAGAAAAATAATAATGTAATAGTTTTAGGAAAATGATGCCAATGAGTCTAGTTCTCGAGTTGAGAACCTTATTCTAATCCTTTACTTATCTCTCATGAAGGATCCTGAAGGTCTCTTCCCATGTATTCTTGGTCACGAGGCTGCAGGGTGCGCTTAACTTTTAACACTCTACAGATCAGAAACCATTTTCTTTGAATGTAAATGTATTCTCATTAACATCCATTTTCTTTTTATTGATTACTTCACAGCATAGTGGAAAGTGTTGGAGAAGGTGTGACTGAAGTTCAACCAGGAGATCATGTCATCCCTTGCTACCAGGCCGAATGCAAGGAATGCAAGTTTTGCAAGTCTGGAAAGACAAATCTATGTGGAAAAGTCAGGTTGGCCACTGGGGTTGGTGTCATGTTGAGCGACCGCAAGAGTCGTTTCTCCATAAACGGAAGTCCTATCTACCATTTCATGGGAACGTCAACATTTAGTCAGTACACTGTTGTGCATGATGTTAGTGTTGCAAAAATTGATCCTGTTGCACCTCTCGACAAAGTGTGTCTGCTTGGCTGTGGTGTTCCAACCGGTAAGTAACTTAACATACTTTCTATTATTTTTTTGTTATTGTTGCTCATAATTAGCGTCCTCATCCCTTTTTATACAGTACTAGTTATGTTCTTTCCTGAATTAGAACTTGATCTCTTGTTTTAAAAGTTTTTGTCAATATTATGTAGAACATTAGTGCTGCGCTGCATGCGAGGTTTGTTGTGATTTTGCCTGTTTCTGGATGTATTCTGAACACAATTACAAGTGTACCACTGCATGTACACTAAATCGAACAATCAAGATGAAGAAGAATTATTTTATCAATCCAAAACATTTTTGTGCTGGTATAATCCTTCAAGACCTGTCTATTATTGTTGTTTTGGGTTTTTGTGTCGATCAAATTGTAGACACAGGCCAAATCTTACCCAATTCTTCTTTCAGATTAATTAGAACAGTCCACTTCAGAATTTCTTTTCTACAAGGATCCTTACAGGAGTATTTTTCTTAGACTTTCTTTCTTATGTACTCTTTAACCTTCTCACTTTTTTCTTTGCCCATAGGTCTTGGCGCTGTTTGGAATACAGCAAAAGTAGAACCAGGTTCCATTGTTGCAATTTTTGGGCTTGGCACTGTTGGACTTGCTGTAAGTTCTCTGTAGGGTGATATCATGCTTGTCTTGATCACAAAGATAATCGACTTAGTTCTTTCCATTCAGGTGGCGGAGGGTGCTAAAGCTGCTGGAGCTTCACGAATCATCGGAATAGATATTGATACCAAGAAGTTTGACATTGGTATGTCCACCTCCATTTCCGTTTTTGTTTTTGGTACTTGTGGCTTATTATGTTGCATAATGATTTATAGATTAATCTGTGACTCCTAGATAATTCCTTATGAACTAAAAGGCTGTTTTATGTATCCCTGCGATGTAATTACTTCTGTTATTATGAAGACAAAAGCAAAGAAAACTGACACAGTGCTGGAAAGTTTCAGCAATGTGGGGGAGAAGAATCAATAATAACGGAGCTACTGCACTTGCAAGAGCATAGACACTTCCTCTCTGAGATTACTTGGGGATAGATGCTTACATAATATGCCGTTTTGCATGTTAAAATTCATTTTCTAGCTATAGAAATATTCCCTTTTTCCTTTTCTCATCTTTGTGTGTAAATTATGATGGACAGCAAAGAATTTTGGCGTGACTGAATTTATCAACCCGAAAGATCATGAGAAACCAATTCAGCAAGTCATTGTGGATTCAACCGATGGTGGAGTTGACTATAGCTTCGAGTGCATTGGGAATGTCTCTATCATGCGGTCTGCTTTGGAGTGCTGCCATAAGGTGAATTTTGTAAACACTTTTACCTGTTTTTCTTGAATGCATTCGTGATATTAAGCAATCGGATAATGTTGAGCTTGCTTTGAATGTGATAGGGATGGGGAACTTCCGTCATTGTGGGTGTTGCCGCCTCCGGTCAGGAAATCTCCACACGCCCGTTTCAGCTGGTGACTGGTCGCGTGTGGAAGGGTACTGCTTTTGGTGGTTTCAAGAGCCGATCACAAGTGCCTTGGCTTGTAGACAAGTATTTGAAGAAAGTGAGTGAATTTTTTTTTTTTTTCATTTTCTTAATGTTGATCTTCTCTTTAGCATAGTTATAAGCCATGTTTTAATAGCATCCAATACCATACCTTATCAGCTGGTAATACCCGATACTGATGGTTTGGCCAGTACGATAACCTTCTAAATACCATTTTGGCTAAAATACCGGTTTATGCCGGTATCATGCCGAAATATACCAGTTTCACCGGAAAAAAAAATACCGACCAGTTAAAATATACCGGATTATTTTTTTGTATTTTTATTAATTTTTTTGCAGAAGTTCTACACTTAATTTTAATATGTTTACTGTTGCTAGATTTTAATCAATTGTTGTATTTGTTAAAGTTAGTTTTATACATTACATATATTATAATGATAAATTAGATTAGTATTTATTGAGATCGGTAAACTAGAAGGTAAAACCAATTGAATTGCGTACTGGTGGCTCGTCTGGTATGGAATTGCCGGTATGGTATAAAAACACTGGTTGTAAATCAATTTTTTCTTTCAGGAAATAGATGATCATTCAAGTTACATATTCGTTCTTAAAGTATTACAAACATCTTTTGGCCTTCAACCCAGAGCCTTAGATTTGATTTTGCTCTTAGAGCGTTCTTGATTTTACGCCAAAGTAAAGTAAATTTGCTCTCCAGTGCAATGCTAGAAACCGACACGAAAATAAATACATGAGCAGGGTTGCACCACGTATGGCGCAACACGTATCACTTCTATTTTTCTTCTCACATGTATATGCGCAATGATTTTGTTCTACACTTTGTTTTGTTTTTCACATTTTTATGTGTTTAGTATAATATGTTAATTTATTATTAAATAAATTAAATATTATGAAAAAATTATGTTTAATTCAAATTAAGATACTCATAGTTTTAACATAATACACATTTTCAGTAAATAATATTATTTATAATGGAATAAAATATTTGGTGTATTAATATGAGGTAAATAAAATAATAATTTTCTTTTAATTAATTATACAATGATAATTTAAATAACTAAATGTGTAAAATAATATATCTAATTAAATATTTACATTAAAATAACTTAAAAAAAAATAATAAGAGTAAAAGGAGATTTAATGTGGAGATCTTGTTTCTTTTCTTTTGGTAATTAGACTAGTGTGTCGATTTGAATTTACTCATTTTCAATATCCTTTCTTGTTAGCAAGCACCTCATTTTTACCTTTTTTTTTTTCTTTTCTTTTCTTGTTTTCTATGCAACCATCGGCATTTTTCTTATTTTCCATGCAACCGTTCAACTTAAACATTATAACCTTTTTTTGCAGGAAATCAAGGTGGATGAGTATATCACGCACAATCTGACTCTTGCAGACATAAATAAGGCGTTTGATCTGATGCACGATGGGGTCTGTCTTCGTGTCGTGCTTAACATGCATATATAATCTATGACTACTGACAGTATGGTTATGCCAACACTGTTTGTATTTTCCTGTGTGTGTGTTTTTTTTGTTCCAGTCTTCTTCCCTTCTTCTGCTAGACATTAAGGCCTCGTTTGTGGACTCGGATACGATTGGACAAGTTTTTCTGCATGGGATTCAATTTCACTGTCTGGACTACCAGCTTTGTTTCACTTTGATATTGTGTTTGGATTATCGTTCCTTCCCGTATGTGCTGTATGTGTATGATTGACTAGCGAGGCCGAGTTACTTGAATATATTTTTTATTCAATCAAAATCAACTAACCAAAATTAGAAGAGGAGTCTTTTAAATAGAGCTCTTAAAGCTCTAAGGGTGAGTTTGGTTATTTATGAGTGATTGAGCTTGATTAATTCCCATAGAAAAATTGAAGTGATGTCCTTTTGATAATAATAATAAAAAAAAAAAAAAAAAAAAAAAAAAAAAAAAAAAAAATTATTAACTTGTTTGGTTCATAATTGACAAGTATAGTCTTTATGTTAAGATTAAATGCCGCAAATATCCCGTTTGATTTCTTCCTGTGCAATTTATTTCCCCCACCTTCTAGTTTCTTCCATAAATCAATTTCTTCCTTTGCAATTTCATTCCCCACCTTCTTAGTTTCTTCCATAAATCGATTTGTTCCTCTACGAGATCTCTATCGGCTTTTTTAGGAAATCCTTTCAATTTCCGCGACGGTGTGATAACATGAGAGATTTGGCGGATTCTCCTGAGGCATGGCGGTCTCTGGTCAACGCCCTTCGACAAAGTGTTTGTAGCTGAGACATGGTGGTCGAGCTACGCGAGTCAGAGAGATGTACTCGAAGGTGCGACATAAGAACAATAGTTGCAATGGATCGAAGGGTGGTGGGACTGAATTGGAGATTATGTAGTATAGTCTCATTTTTGTGTCTTTATTTTGAGTTTATTTTCTTTTTCTTTTTTCCCCACTCGTAGTTTTTTCGTAGCATATTTGGTCCATTTCGTTGGTTTTGTGATTTTCTCTTTAGTTTCTATTTATGTGTCTCTTTGTCGTGTTTTGCTTCGTGTTTTTTTTCGTGTTTATGTTTTCAGGAGGTGGCCGAGACCGTGGTATCGAGAATTACCGTTGCCGAGCCCAGAAGACGACGAAGAGGACTGAAGGAAGGACTGAAAACGCTCCTAGAAGTTTTTGAGACTCGCGAGATCGTCATGACCCGCGAGATTAACAGAGCCTAAAGTAGTAGTTCGCGAGTTCGAGTCGCGACTCGCTCTCGCGAGAGATGTCGCGACCACTCCCAAATTTTGAAGAAAACGACGACGCGCGACTCATGACCCGAGAAAGAGAGAAGTCGTGACTCGCGACGCGAAAATCGAGATGCTGAATTTTTAATTTGTTTTTGGACCTAGGGCATTCTATTCCATTCTAGATTTTGATTTATGATTTTTCTCTCTACTAAACTCCTTTTCATTAGTTTTCACTTTTGATTCGATTTCGAGATTGAAAAACTCTTTTTTCTCGCTTGGATTTGGATGCACTTGGATTTGACATTGTTTCTACATTAATCGTAAGTTCTTGTTCTCAATTTGTTCATTGATGATGATGGCTTGGGTTGATGTGATTTGTGATGTTAAATTCGTAATGAGTAGCTACATCCATTTGCTATGGATAGAAGATGATTGATTAGGTTCGTCTATGATTGCTTGTTTTTCATTGTTCATATATATATATGTGAGTTGTGTGAATTATAGGGTTAGTTGATTGATCATCATTCTAACCTAGTTAATCAACGTGTAGAACCGAGAGGGGAGACGATGGTTGCTTTAGGCTCATTTAAAATAGACTTGTTCGTCATAGTATTGTATTTGTTGGAAATATTATGATTGTAAAAGGCAAATTAAGAACGAGTTTCAACACATATACGTATTAAGAATTTGAAACTAGAAACCACAAAAATCAACCACGGGAACGTGAGATGAAACCAGATTTCTATTAGTAAATAAATAAGTTTATTATAAAAATAAATAACTTCAGTGACAGTTCTATATAGCCATAGAATACATATAGCCGAATCACATAAATAATCTATTTGCCTTGAAGAAACAGACGCCCCGATACTGTGCAACGAGTACTACGCCTTTTTTTCCCAAAATAAGACGGCTCAAAGTGTGAAGACTGCACTATCTAACACACTCACCTCGATCAGAAGCTCAGTCACCAAGAACCCTTAATTATTCTTAGACTTGTAGAGGATAAAAGAGAATATATGTATATGTTTCTTTTCTTTTCCTTCAATTTGTTTGTGTGTTCTTCCCATTAGCATGCATGCACTATTTATAGTGCTCATGAGCTCCCATGCATTCAATGAAGATGAGAAGCTTTAATGCTTCATTAAGAAAACACTAATGAATCTATGAGTTTCACTCTCATTTCTCAAACCGAACAAACATTATGTTCGGTTATGTTTTTGTCAAAATGAATTTGGACATTCACATTAATTTTTCTATTTTCTTACAACATTAAACACACCATCATATCTAAGGATTCCCACATAATACAATTCTCTTTTCACATGAATTTTATTACAACAATCCCCCACAAATCCTTAGATAATAATTATCAGGGTCATCATAAGTTGCTTTCAGTAATGGTACCTTCCGGTTTGAACCACTACCTAAGTTATCCAACTTCTGTCATCACCGAAATGAATGGATCTAATCCTTGAATTCATGTCGTGAGTGTAATGACGTTCATTAGTAACAACAACTTATAGACTATGTTCTGATCTTTAGGGTTGACACATTAGGCCATATGTCACGATCCTGTTCATGAGTATCTTCAAGGAATGACCCTTTCCCCTAGTTGCGGCCAAACAACTATACTCATTTAGTTGGGCATCTCCAAAGATGCACTGCTTACATCTTGTTTAGAAAACTCGACCCCATTCAGAGATAAACTCTTACTATACTTGCAGTTAACAGCACCTTTCAGGTATGCTAGGGAAAGAACACATCATACTTTATATATAAGTATCAGTCTTGTAATTTTAGGTGCACAATGATACATTCAACAGCTTGTTTATACCACATTGAACCTTCCTTGTGGGATCTCCACTTAGAAGGTTGGGTTGCTACTGCAGATGCATCTCATATGGGTTATTCAGTCCCATCCCTAACCTGGATTTTTGCACTAACGATAGATCAAGTCCTTTAGTCAAAGGATCAGCCAAATTGTCTTTAGAATTAACAAAGTCAACGGCCATAACCTTATCAGACACTAATTCCCTTATAGACTTTAGTCTAACTTGCATGTGTCTCTTTGTTTTCTGATTGAACTTTTGACTTCTTATTTTTGCAATTGTGGTTTGACTATCACAATGCACTGGTATTGGAGGTAATGGCTTGCTTACAATGGGTAGTTGCATCAACAACCCATACAATCATTATGACTCCATTCCAGTCGTGTCCAATGCACATAACTCAGCCTCAAAAGTAGACCGTGTTACCAAAGTCTGTTTAGTTGACTTCCAGGAGACAGCGCCCCCACCCAAGGTAAACACATACCCTGTACATCCGTTAGCTCCGGAATTTTTAGCTATCCAGCTAGCATCACTATATCCCTCAAGTACCCTAGGGAATTTGCTATAATGTATAGCTAGTGATATTTTGCCTTTAAGATACCGAAGTACCCTATCCAAGGCTTCCCAGTGAGTCTTATTAGGACAACTTGTATATCTAGCTAACTTTGACACAAAAAATGAAATATCTGGTCTCGTACCATTAGCTAAATATTGAGCTTCCAATAATTTGAGAATATCTCAATTGAGCCTCAGAAACACACTTTCGTTTTTAAAAAAGAGCCACATATGGATCATATGGAGTTTTAGCAATTCTACAATCATTATAGTCATATTTCTCAATTATTTTCTCAACATAATGAGATTGAGAAATGACTATACCCTTAGTTGAACGAATCAACTTAAGGCCAAGAATTACATTTGCCTCTCTCATATCCTTCATTTTAAATTTACTCTTTAGAAATGATTTAGTCTCTTCAATTATTTCATATGCAGATCCTATTAACAGAATATCATCTACGTACAGACATAAGATTATACAATTATCACCTTTAACCTTAAAGTATATGCACTGATCATTATCATTTATCACAAAGCCGAATGATAAAATAGTTTTATCAAACTTTTCATGCCATTGTTTAGGTGCTTGTTTCAAACCATAAAGAGATTTAACAAGCTTGCAAACTTTATGCTCGTTACCTGGAGCTATAAACCCCTCAGGCTGATCCATGTATATTTCTTCATCAAGATCTCCATGTAAAAAGGCAGTTTTTACATCCATCTGATGAATATAGAGATTATACACAGAAGCCAAGGCTATGAGCACACAGATTGTAGTTAAACGAGCAACAGGTGAATAGGTATCAAAGTAATGTATTCCCTCTTTCTGTTTAAAACCTTTGACAACCAATCTGGCTTTAAACTTATCAATGGTTCCATCAGAATTAAGTTTCTTTTTGAAAATCCATTTACAACCAATTGTATTACACCCCGGAGGTAGTTCAACTAACTCCCATGTCCCATTAGAGACAATTGAGTCAATCTCACTTTTGATAGCTACTTTTCAATGCTTAGCTTCTGTTGAACTCATAGCATCTTTGAAAGTTATTGGCTCGTCCTCGATATTGTAAGTGATAAAATCACTTCCAAAATCCTTAACGATCCTAGCTCGTTTGCTCCGTCTAGGTTCATCCAATTTTGTTTGTAAAGAATCCAAACCACTGAGATTACCCCCCACATTTGTCATCTTTTCCACATGTTCAGGATTGACGATGATGTAAGGGCCGCATCCAAGACATCATTTTGGGGTATTCCCGTTTTCATAGGAAAAACATCCTCAAAGAATGTAGCATCACGGAGTTCAACAATTGTGTTTACATCTATGCCAACAATTTCTGATTTAACAACCAAAAATCTAAGAGTATAGCTAGTTTCCACATATCCCAAAAAGACCGCATCAATAGTTTTAGGTCCTAGCTTTTTTTTTTTTTTAGGTACTAGAACTTTTGCAAGATAGCCCCACACACGAAAGTACTTTAAGCTAGGTTTCCTACCTTTCCATGATTCAAATGGAGTTATTTCATTGTGTTTCAGAGGGACTATATTCAGAATATGGCAAGCCGTATTCAAAGCCTCTCCCCACATATACTTAGGCAATCCAGAATTCAACAAAAGACT